TGCTTAACAACTATAGGACTGAAATTATTTTTGCCAAATATGCATAAAATCTTAAGCTAAAATGTCTATGTTCTAGAATATAGAAGTTTAGTGGTAAAATGTAGAATCTGTAATACCAATTAAGATAGAAACAAAGGGAATAAAATAGTTTGTCTAGAGCACTTAAACCCTTTTAATGCTTAATACATTATATGAAATTTCATGTAAAATATGCAGCACTCAAGTTAGTAATTTCTCATGTGAATACTCAGTAACTTGTATGTCCAAGTAGACTGCAAACTTTAAAATTCTTTTATGGTTTCACGTTCACTGCAATGGAAGAAAATATAAATTGAGGGGGGTAGTTGTGTAAAGACTAAAATAACTCAAATTGGTTTTTTTAGGTTTTTTAAATTATGTATTAATAGTGAATTAAAGTTTTACATAATGGTGGGGTTCATTTTGAAATATTCATAAATGTATATAACATAATTTTCTCCATTTTAATCCCCAATACTATCCACTTCCCTCTCTCCTCCCTTTTTCTGAGCCCTTTGCTACTCTATTGGTCGTCCTTCTTAATTTATTTTTTAATTAGTTAGTTATAGCTATACATAAAAGCAAAATTCATTATGATATATTCATACAGACACATAGCATAGTTTGGTCAAGTTGATTCCAGTTTCTCTTCCCCTACCTCCCCCTCAATCTCCTTCCTCTACTCCATTGTTCTACCTTGTATTTTCATGAAATCCCTCCATTTAAAAAAAAATTCATTCTCTCTCTCTCTCTCTCTCTCTCTCTCTCTCTCTCTCTCTCTCTCCCTGTCTCTCTCTTTCTCTCTAGCTTAAATATATGAGAAAAAAAATCCAAATCTTCATCAATATTATTCCTAAATATCAAGAAAATCTTTTACATAATACAAAAAAATAGTCCATAAAAAAAACTGTATATAGGGCTGGGGATGTGGCTCAGTTGGTAGAGTGCTTGCCTAGCATGCACAAGGCCCTGGGTTCAATCCCCAGAACAACAACAACAACAAAAAAAACTATATACAATGATAGACAATGTAAGATGAATGAACTTATAATGTATAATGCAGAAAAAATTCACCACAGTTCTTATATGACTACTGCTTGAAATATATTTCTACTTAAAATATGGTACACATGCTAATTTATGCTATTTAAAATGTGTATTTCTCTAACATTTTCTCCCACAAATTGCTCAAAAAAATAATATGCATTTCCAATTATAGAAGTGATGAAATTTTGGACATTGAGTTGTTTTTATTTTTTTTAATATTTATTCTTTGGTTGGACACAATATCTTTATTTATTTATTTATTTTTATGTGGTGCTGAGGATCGAACCCAGGGCCTCTCATGTGCTAGGCGAGAGCTCTACCGCTGAGCCACAACCCCAGCCCCTGAACATTAAATTATTAAAAATTTTCTTTAGTGGTTGGTGGACCTTTATTTTAATCATTTATCTATATGCAGTGCTGAGAATCGAACCCAGTGCCTCACACATACGAAGCAAGTGCTCTACCACTGAGCCAGAACCCCAGCCCACTGGACATTGGTTTTTGACATCTAATTAATAAAGAATGTCAGTCTTTAATTTTCCTTAATAATTAAAATGGTCACTTAAAATGGATCCTAATGAGTATCACAAATCTTTCTTTTAATGAAACATGGGTAAAAGATAGTTTGATCTCTAATAAAAATTTCAAAATATAATAACATTTTCATATACACATATTAATTAAGAGAAAATGACTTAAACATTGATTCCTTATGAAATAGTATCACTATAATAAAAAATACTCAGAAGAAAGGAAACCATTATATTACACAGTCAGTCTCAAACAGATTATTGGTATGCTAGATTGTATGGTCTGGAATGTTATTCGTTATTAATTGCAATTTGTTGAGAAAAGTGTAAAACAAACAAAAATTGGGATCTATGTCCTTAAACTTGATGAAAACATTAAAAGTATCATTTGGAGAAACCCTGAGAATCCATGTATTGGATGGGTTCTAGTATAGGGAATTCTCTCATTGGTGAAGTGGAACTTTTTTTTTTTTATAAAAAGTCATAGTTTGGAGTATCATAGCAAAGCTTACACTCTGTGTAAAGTTTACTATCACAGCAATTCTTCATAGAAAAAAAAAATTCTTAGATCTGAGGTTGTCAATCTGCTTCCTTTTGAGATTGTAGTCACTTTGAAATAGCAGTTAACAATGAAAAAAAAAGTCCCTTAAAAGCACTGACTTTTATACTTCATTCCAACAAAACAATTTGCTATTTACTTATTTTACAGTTAATCTCCATGCTAAATCTGAAAGTATGCTCTCAATAACAACTATAATAAAAGAATGTTGGGATAATGACACATGATGATAAAAGCAGGGAAAATGCTCATTTGAAGATATAATCTCTTTCACATATATGAGCTGTAAGTAGAAACAAAGTAGGATAAATGCTTCACACAAAGTTACTGAGAGAATTCCTATGGAACAAAGTTATCCGAAGATGGTAGAAACCCTTCCTAATTCCTATCCCTGCGGACAAAGCCTTTCTAATGTAAGATGTACTGCTCTGTAAAATAATGTGCAAAAGAATGTATAGCCAAGTATTCTTACCCATCTTTCATAGTTGATGAAAATTTAGAGAAGACTCTTAAGACTTAGTTTTCTCCGTGGCTGTGTTTGGTTGGTTGGCAAAAACAGAGGTAGTGCCATGTATTCAATAAATTCATTTCTTTTTCCTCCTAAATACATGTCTGTATAATATTCCCAAGCCTTCCCTGCAGTTAAATTGGGAAATGTGACTAACTTCAGGTTAATGGGATTAGGGTTTATTTTATAGGATCCACAATAAACTTTCTTCCTCCCTACCTTTAAGTAGAGTATGCAGTGAAATTGCCCAATGTCCTAAAAGAAGGCAGAGCCACTCCTAGGTTCCTGAATGACTGAATGGGACTGACTGGAGCAAAGACCCAGAGTACCCCCACATGCCATCCAAACTGGTATTATTAAGCTACTAAGATTGAAGGAAGCTAGGATATTCTTCAGTCATTAATTTATTCCTCCAATATAAATAATAAAAATGTATAAGGGATAAAAATAAAATCGGGATTTCAGAGCAAAGCAAAGGTGGCAATTGTACTGAATATGTAAGAGTGGGAAGAGCTTTTAGAAACTGTAGGATCTCAAATATTCAAATAGTACTGGTCAAAGTCCTGTTTCCCCAATCATATCCTGAATCTATACCATCTTATGATAATATTACCCTCTTAGTAGTAAATGACTAAGGCATTATTTTCTGTTGATTTCTTTTATAATGTATTTTTTATTTTTAATTGACATATAGTAGTTGTACAGATATATAGTGTACACTGTGACATTTCACTACACATATACAATATGTAATGATCAAATCAGGGTAATTGGCATATCTATCACCTCAGAATTTATCATTTCTTTGTGTTGGGAACATTCAAAATCATCTCTACTAGCTATTTTGAAACATACAATTAATTGTTGTCAATCATAGTTATCCTGTGGTGCTAGAGAATATTAGAAGTTGTTCCTCTTATCCAATTGCACCTTTCAACTTGTTTTCTATTCTTTCTCTATCCCCCCTCCCATACACCTTCTCAAGCTCTGGTAACCTATATTCTACTCTATACTTCTATGAGATGGACTTTTCTGGATTCCACATATAAACTATAACATGCAGCAATTGTCTTTCTGTATCTGATTTACTTGATATAATATCTGTTTCTATCCATGTTGTTGCAAATGACAGAATTTTATCCTTTTACATGGCTGGATAATATTTCAGTGTATGTGTGTGTGTGTGTGTGTATTTTATGTATAGATACGTGTGTATCACATTTCTTTTATCCATTCATATATTGATAGGCACACATGTTGATACCATATCTTGGCTATTATGAATAATACTGCAATGAAAATGTGAGTAGAGCTATTTCTTCTGCATACTGATTTCAGTTATTTTGAATACACACCCAGAAGTGGGATTGCTGGATCATTGGCAGTTCTAGGTCTAGTTTTTTGAGGAACCCCCATACTCTTTTCCATAATAATTGTAATAGTATGCATTCCTACCAACAGTGTTTGAGTGTTCGCCTTTCTTATTAGTATTTGTTATTTTTTACTTTTCTAGCATTTTTTACCTTTGTCTTTTTGAAAACAACTATTTTAACTGGGGTGAGATAATATGTCACTGTGGTATTGATTTGTCTGTCCTAATATACTCCGGGCATAGTGCTAAGTGCATTATGTGAATTACCTCATTTAATTTCCTATATGAGTGTTTTAATAATATTTTCAATTTAGAGAGGAAATTGATACCTATAAAAGTTAAAATGATCTCAGAGATAATCAATAAGAAGTGAATCTAGGATTTAAATGGTCTTTTTATTCATGCCCATCTTTAAATGCAAAATTTTAATCATGGGTAATATTTGGTCCCAACAAATTTTTGTTTGAGCAATGGTAATTTACCTCAACTACTATCCTGTCACAAATAGAATCATACAGTTGCATGTGAATCTTTTTATGTGACAGGAAAAGCTGACAGGAAGGGCTGAACTTGGCAAACATTATTTGAATCTGCTTCATACTGAAAACTCTACATCCTGATTTTTATGGTCTTGCCAAAAAATTATCCATCAAAAATACACATAGTAAAGAAATCATTAATATTTTGACCCAGAATCAAATTATTCTTTTATTACAAACAACTTCAGTGAAAGAAAAACTTCATGGAAAGCTTAGGACATTGCTCACTTAAAGGTACTACAATTATAAATAGTATATTTGAAATTTTTATAATTATTTTCTTTTCTAAGTAATTCAAATAATAATCAGACTTCCTAAAAAACCCACGAATTTACAATGAAAATATTTTATGGATAGAATAATTAGTTTAAATTGCCTAATATTCATTCACAATAGGATTGGCCTTGTAAAAGGAACTGAAGTCCAATTAAATGGAGTTCCCTTCCTCATCTCTGAGCCATATTTGAGTAGGTTTTTTTTTTTTTCTACTTTCTTCTAACTTTCCCTTATCTGTTTTCATGGCTAATTTTTTTCTGTCAATGTATTAATACTTTCAATTAGTTTAAATCAAGCTCTGCTTCAGAGTAATTAATCTCTTCTCTTAAGATAGTTTTGCTTTTTTAAAAAATAGTGTCCTGTAGATACACCTGATATCAGGACCCATAGTGCCACATCCATGCATGGACATAGGAAAGGTTGGTGGAAGGCAAGGAGGTAGGTAGTGCCAGGGACTGAACTGCAGTGGGTTGTATTTCATGCTTTTGTGACTATGTCAGGGTGTATTCTGATATTGAATATAACTAAGATTTTTTTAATTAAAAGGAAGAGGAAACATAAGAAATTGAAGGAAAATTAAAATTAAAATATTGCAGTTATAATAAAATTCATTAAATATTCTAATAAAAGATAACTTTGCACATTTTTTAAAATTTATTTTGTGTTGATCTTGATGTTTAACAAAAGACAATCTCATCTTGTGCTCTTTCTTTCAAATTTCTCCTTGGCACCATACTCCTTATAAATCTGTAAGAGACTACAAGAACTGAAATAATTCATTCCAGGATAAGATAATGTACACTAGGAAGTCCTACTTATGAAAACTGAGTGGGGGTATATAATAACATAAAGAAATGTTTTCATTTTCTTCACTTGGGATAAGAGCACTATACCCACAGGATTCAATTAACCATCTTAACACCAATTTGATTGCTAGGATAAGCTCTCCAAACTTCCCATATAAGAGGTACCAGGTTTCTTCATAGGGTTACCAATCCCAACCCCCATATTAAGCAAGAACTCTTGCTCAGGAAAGAAGTGTGGCCAAGAATAAATAAAAGCTAGAATATAACATCAGGAAAAGATGGTGCTGTGGTACTTCCAGCCTATAAATGAAAAAAGTAAGTTTTGTTCAAGTTTTGTGCTGCCACAGAACCATGAACTTAAAGAGTGAAGTCCAATGTCATAGTCCTAGTGTTCCTTCCACCAACTAAGAAAATGCCAAGAGGAGCACTTTCCCACAAATAAGTGTGGGCTAGTAAATGTAACAATAAAGTTAATTAATCCACCAGAGAGCTTCAAGACTGGAATGACTCACTGAAACAGGAACAAACGATTTTTATTCATTTATTATTATTTCTTCTTTATCTTTGGAGCCAGAAGGTGGCAAAATGACCAAGAATACAGACATGGCCAGACACAGTATGAACACCTGTAATTTCTAATTACTGGGGAGGTTGAGGCAGGAAGACTGCAAGTTTGAGGCCAGCCTGGACAACACAGCAAGACTGTCTCAAAATAAAAGAAGTGGGGAATGTTCCTGGTTTTAATCCCCAGTATACTCCCCCAAACACACACACACACACACACACACACAGAGAGAGAGAGAGAGAGTATTCTGAATATTCTGACATGGAGGAGATCTGGATGAACTTAAGAAACCTACTATTAGTTTAGAGTCTGGAGGATACTATAGGAGAAAATATTTTTTAAAAAAGAATGCTGGAATTTTGGGGGATATGGCTCAGTGGTAGAGTGCTTGCCTGGCATGCAAGAAGCCATAGGTTTGATACCCACTACTACCACCAAAAATTTTTTTTTAAAAATTGCTGAAGCAAACTTCTTCTTGAAACATGTCTTCCTCCAAGATGAATTTTCTGCTTGGAAACTTGTTTGATATCAGCATATCCTTGAGTAGATATCCTTGGATACGAAGTAGAAGACCATGGCAACCTTCGTTGTACTGACCGATAAAAAAAAGTCTGAAAGTAACAACACGAAAAGAACAAGAAAATGGACAATCAGTAGAGGTAAAATTTCTTAATAACATAGAGAGATACAGACATCAACAGGATTACAAAAAGCAAAAATAACTGTTAAAGTACAGTTAATACTGTATAACATTTTAATTGTGATATTTCAGTACATTGTTAATTTTTTTTTCAAAAATGTTTTAGTAGCAGAATCCATTTAATTGATAACAAATGAGAAAATGCCACTGGAATATACAATGCCTATGGTGTCCCTGTAAAAATTTGGTAAAACCTGAATACCCAAGCTACATTAAATAAAGCAAAAAAGAATACATGTGAACAACTTTTTATGTATAATTGAGCATATACAAAGTTTACCTCCCACATAGAAACATACACAAATCTGATGACTAAAGAAATTAAAGGAATTTAAAAGAAAAATGGCTAAAAGAGTGATTGGGTGGATGTATATTATAGACATTAAAATTTAATTATCTAACACCATTCAAATCTTAGAAGTTGTACAACTGCAAAATATGAGACATGGAAAAGCAAACTCACCTACTATCATGTTTTCACTTGCTTTTACTGAGTAACAGTAACAAGCCAAACCATATTAATGAAGAAAAATATTTTTTAAAAACCTACATATTCCACACATAATAAGATATAATAACTACGTAGTGGAACGAATGAATGGGGAAAAAAATCAAAGAGGAATGAAAACTTCCTTGTGTCTCTACTGCTACTAAGTAACAGCTCTGGATACAGGTCTAAAAGCTGTACTTTTGGACAGTCACTTTTGGTTCATGGTTTTATTTCCAGAAACTATAACTTAATGGTATGTGAATAATAAATAAAATAGCAGACCATTAAACATTCCTAAGAGTTTAAAATGATTATTTCAAGAAATCACCTCAAGCTTGTTTGTAATAGTGAAAAAAGCTTTGTTTTAGAGAACACCTTCTTAGTCCTATGTAGTTTTATTCTGAGACAGCATTTGACTTTCAAGTCCTACAAAGTTACTACCACGAGCCCCTATTTTGGTCATGTAACTGCAAATTTGATGAGGGTTTTATTTTTTCTACAAACAGAAAATCAAAAAGAATAAAGAATCAGCCAAACCTACAATCTTTTCTTTAAAGTTATGGGAGATAAATCCCTGTTGTTTATTATTTGAGTGAGACGTTTGTCTATAACAATTTAATGGCAGTAATACACAAAGATGATGGTCCATTTAATCTTTCACATTTTTTAAAGTGAAAAACATACTTAGATCCTGAAAATTACCTGTCCTGTTTCACAGGTTGCACCTGTATTGCTGCCACACATCTGTGGAAGTGCAATATCAGCCAACTGTTAATCAAGGATCACTTCCCTTCAAAGTGACTGATGATCCACTGTTTAAAAAGCTCACAAAAATAACTTCTTCAAAAAGTGCTTCAAGGGTTTCAGACACATCTTACCAGGCCTGCTAGCCTAATGTATGTCTGGAAGCTAATTCCTTGTTAATATTAAAGAACAAATGGCTTAAGAACAAAATTTAAATAATCCATTACATTTTAGAAATAAAATATTATTGGCATTATTTTCATTTCGATTGCAAGAAATGATAATGTCCAAGATTGGCTTTTAAAACTGTTAATGAGCCCTGGCAATGTGAAAAAGATATGGATTAGGTAGATGTAATGAGATATGATTAAAGGGTGCAGGCAGTGAAGGGTGTTGGAGAAATTCTTTTCAGAAAGAGTATAATTAGTGTCTGATAAAAGTACTTAGTAGATAAGATTTTTGAAGAAGAAAGGTTAAGATAAACATATACTTTATGACAAACCTGCTTAATTTTTCCCCTTTGGTTCTCTTACATACTCAATATTATGTTGAAGTTTCATACATAAATAATGTTTGTCGAATACTTGATGCAATTCTACTAGACAATTAGAGTGTTTTAATTGCCAGACACGGAGAGCAGAAAATGTGTTGAAACATCTTATTCCATTTTCAGTGTACATTTCTTTGTTGATTTATGTAATGTAGCTAATAATATGCAACCTACCCTGGTTTTAAACAAACAAATGAACTTTTAGAAAGCTCTCCATAAGTTGCTAAGCAACTCCAAAGGCACATTTTATTAATTTAATAAATAACATTTAGATGACAAATCCTTAAGGATGATTTCAAACTCCACTGTAAAAGAAGTAGAAAATACAAAGCAGGTACCCTTCTGATTTTCCTGTTTCTAAGGCCTCAGAGCTAGGCAGGGATATACCCATCTTTGGAGTTACATCTGTCTCACTAAGCAAAACGTTTTTTCAATTGAAATTGTTATTATAATAGAAGTTAGGTCCTGGGACTCATAGTGGGTACCTTTCCAGAGTTAGAGATCATGTTTCATTCTCATAACAGAGGGTTTCAACCTCAGCACTATTGACATGTTGGACAGGAAAATATGAAGTTTCAGGGAGCTAGCCTGTGAAATGTAGGGTGTTGAGCAATATCCCCATCCTGTACCTACTAGATGCCAGTAGTGGATAAAGAATTGCTAGAACTATAAATTTCTGCAGACATTGCTAAGATGTCCACAGAGGGTGGGGTAGGAGGGCAATATCACCCCCAGTTAAAAACCCCTTCAACTGAATATAGGTAGATTAGCTAAATACAAAAAAAAAAAAAATGTCTTTATCTAGCACCCCCTAGCACTATGAATAATGAAGAATAAGGAGGTAGTACCCATTTTAGTAGTACTGTGACTTTTGTTCCATTTAACACTCATTTCCAAGTTCATTGTTTCAATATTATTTCCACTGTCTATAAATTGAGGGAAGAAACCGGATGATGGCTCTGACTATAACCCCTCTCTAGCAATATCATGTTCCAGAACTGCACCAAAATATTTCCTCCTACTCCTTCTCCCTCAATTTTCTGTATATCCAGGAGCTAGACAGAATCATTTTTAAAATGAATCTCAACATTAAATATACATCCTCTGCTCAAAGGGCCACCACAGTTCTTTAATTTTTTTTCTATTAAACATAAACTCCACTGCATGATCTTTAAGATTTTCTACAATTTACCATTGAACTCCCTCTAATCAAACATCTTTATTATTTTCTACTTTGACCACCGTTATCCTTCACACACAAATCGCTTACATAGCCCAGTCTCCACATATGATATAAAAAGGACAAATTTATTTTCTCCATTAAAGTTTTCTTAATTAATCCTTCCTTTACTTATCAGTATTATATTTCTGTTAAAGGAATGACATGACTGCAAATTAATGTGAGGCAATCATTTACTGAATGTCTTCAATATGCCAGACACTGAACACTGTTTAGTGGCTGTTTCTTTCAATTTACATTTCATTATTTATGCCCAACTAGATTGTAAGTTCCCAGAGGATAGGAACAGGTTTTATTCGTATCCCTCTGGCATCTTTTAATAATGATGCTAATAAATATGCTTTACATTTGATTAGCAATTATAACCTTTCAAATTACTTTCACGGTTATTGGCTCATTGGTTATATGATTTCACTATTTTACAATCAATGAAAGTAGGACATAAAATGACCTAGGGAATAGCCTATGGGTTACACAAGTGGTGCTCAGTAAAATATGCATTTACTATATGCTGGCTGACTGAATTCAGTCTTACCATTTCAGGACCCTAAAATTTCTCTCCTGGTTACAAAAAGTTCTTATGGTGTTTAAAAACAAGAACTGCTGAATGATGCAGGAGACACAATATGGAAACGAATTAAGGTTGACAAAGGTTAAATCGTAATATAGCAGCAGGAAAGCAAAAGAGAAGTCTCTTAGCTTCTGCTTCAAATTGGCTATAAAGATGAACTTCATTTCATAAGGCCTTGAACTCTTACCAGGGAAAGTAAAATTGTTTTAAAAGAAAACAAAATGGGAAGGAAAAGTCTTACAGAAAGGTTAACTCCCAAATTCTAAAAAATCATAGCATTTTATCTCATAAGTTAATAAGTTAAGAAAATATTCTTAGGAATCTCCTGAAACACGTTTGGGGAATTCTCTAAAATAATATCAAAGTAATTGTAAAAAGCATTTATCAGTCTCTCAAATGAATTCAACAAAACACAAGTCAGCCAGCTGATTAGACATCCACTAGCCCTAAGCACCATGAGCCTGAAGAAGATATCTTTTCTATCCAGTAATCTTTTCACCATTTACTGCATACTTACTAAGGGTAGACGCTGGCCTGGGCCCTGGGGGGGGAAAGAGGCTGAAGCCTCATTTGCTAGTGTGAATTTGTGTAGGGAATTCAGAAAAAAAGACCCCCCCCCCCCCCCCCCCCCAAAAACGTGGATGATGGGCCTTTCGCTATACCTTTGGTCTTTTCAACTCTCAAATCTAAGGAATTGAATAAACGGAAGAAAATTCGACAATGAAGAAAACAAGTTAAGATCCCTCCAGCCACCCTAAAGATGCAGGAAACGGCTCTCCCAAGCGACCCCAATCCACGTGACCAGACATAAGTGCAGGAGAGCACCGGGTAGGGAATATTGGGCCAGTGGGGAAGAGGGGATGCTGAGAGGGAAGGTCACGGCCTGCCGGGGAGGACCGGAAGTGCAGGGCCACCGGTGCGCAGGAGGACTGTCCCTGAGCTGCGCGCGACTCTGCACTCCCGGCCCCACGCGGCCTTGACTCAGGGGATCCTCCCACCACCACAACGTCGCATCACCTCACAGCGAGCTTCCTGCAAAATAAGGGATTTGGGAGCTTTTCCGGAGGTTCCCAAGCCTGGTGGTAACCTTGGACCTGAAGTTTGCAGGGTCGAGTCCGCGCTGCTCTCCTGCGTTTCCTCAGAATATCTGCACCCCGGAGCCACGCAGACCGAGGACGGGGAGCCCAGCGGAGTCCGGGCCTGCGGGGGGCGCCCCGCGGGCCGACTGTGAGCGCTGGCCGGCCGGGGAGGGAAGGGGACCGGCCCGGACCGTGGAGACCTCACGGGGCAGGCCCTCAGGGGCGCCGAAAATGAAA